CTCAGCTTGTCATAAACTGGTTTACATAACTTATATATGAAAATCTCAGCTGTGATAATTTACATCTAGTCACTTATATTCAACTCATTTATTGCAAAAAAGCGCAAGAGGTGGGATCTATATATAACATATGGCAAGTTATATATGATTGACAAGCGCAACTTATGGATGACTATAACGCAACTACTGTTTTGAAGATGTTCTAAATGGATTCAATCCTTCCAACAAATGGCATTTGTTAATTTTTCCATCATTGTGCGAATAAAGTGTATAAACTGAGGTTCCGTACTCAAAAACTTTTGTGCGGTTGAAAAATTATGGTGAATCTTTACATTCTACTTCTAAAAAACTCATTGACTCTTAGAAAAAGCTTTTTTCAATAAATTGAATTGCACAAAAAAATCCCCAATTTCGAAAACATCACATTTTTAGCAAAACAAATAGAATTTCAACCTTTTTTTATTATCATACTTGTCTCTTCTACATAACGTGAATGGGATGTTGAAAACACAACTGATTTTTTTTTTCATTCTATATTTTGCTTCATCGGTCAGCCATATTGCAGTTCAATTTGTTTCAAACATGTTTATAACACGAAAAACAAGAACATTACTTGTATCATATATTAAAGTTATAATTCGGTATTGAAACTGTCAATTACTTGTTTATAACACAGTTATAACTGATGGTATTTCATGAAAGCAACCTAGCCTTATATAGAACATGTTTTGATATGTTATTTTTGGAAGCATGAGTAGAACTGAAGAATAGATTATTAATGACATGTTATAAATAAGTAACAGTCATGATGTATTCATGTTTGCTCATGGTTCTAAAACTGACATATGAAAACATGTTGTATATAAGGCTAGCAAGTTTTCACCAAATACATAAATTTGTTATAAACAGGTAATTGAGTCATGCAATACCAAATTATAACTTCAAGATAACAAGTGCCTGTCAGAAAGGTTGAATACTTCACAAACAACAATACACCGCGTTTAAAACAAGATGATTTATAAACAATCAATACCTAACTTATTTACAACTGGGATTTGTTACATTTTTCATGAACTATGTCGCAAAAGTTACTTGGGTCTAGATCTTGCTTTCCTGAGGTACTTGGAATTCGAAATTTTATTAAAGTTCTCTCTACATATGTGAAGTTCTGTTGACTTCACTGAAGTTCTCTAGATATTCCTGAAGTTGTCAGAGCTTATTAAAGTTTCCTTATGTTCATGCAGATTGATTAGGAAACTTTCTTGAAATTAGCAGCATTTGACTCAATTCCTCAGAACTTCTTCAAAGTTTCAAAAATATTTGTGAAATCAATGGGACTGCTCAAGTTCATGAAGCTTTCCTGAAGTTCTTACTAATTTACTGATGATGATATGGAATTGAACTGAAAATCTCCCAACCTCCTCGACGTTCGTGAACTTCTTGGAATTTCTGAACTTTTTCTTAATTTCAGTAAACTTCCTTGCAGGTTAGGGACTAAACTTAAATTTTCGGAACTGTTTTGGACGTTCCCGATATTCTTCTGAAATTAATTGAACTGCCGTTAATTTCAATAAATCTACCTGTTTTCCCTGAAGTTCTCGTTATTTTCCTGATATTCATAGAATTCCGAAGTAACAATTCAATGAAGAGCTTAGATTGGGTTGGTTTATTTCCTTTCAATTCCGTTATAATTGCTTATCTTTTGACAGATACACATATTTCGTCTACTACTTGCAGACTTCATCAGTGCCAAGTACTCAACACCACTGAAGAATCCATCTTTTATCTTCAAGTTATATACTAATCAATAGGTGTTAAAAATCAGCAGGTATCCACTGCCATGTCAAAATTTACCTAACCAGGTACCTGAATTCAGTCTCCAACAGGTAGATGCATGCTACGATGTGTTGTTTTAGGTAGCATGCTAAAGAGTCTCGAGTATCCGTTTCCTTGATCTCTATTAAGCAATGTTAATATGTTTAAATATTTCTAAACTTTCAGCTACGTCTGGTTTCTAAGGCGAAGATACAGTCCGCAGGATATTAATGGTATCATTAGTCAAATTGTGCCCCTTTGTAACGATATGTTCTGCAACCTTGGATTTAAATTCATAATGAAGTCCTTTATCCATCTCTTTGTTAGCCTTTTTTACCTCTGCGATGTGTTCCTTAATCCTTGTTTTCAAAGTCCTTTTCGTCTGACCAATGTAGATTTTATTGCAATCTGGACAAGAGATTTTGTAGACTCCGGCTTTCCCTAAGGCATTTTTTGAATCTTTTATTGGCCAGGCCAAAACTTCTAAATAAACTTTGAAATCACTGGTTTGGTGATGTTTTTGCCGAAATTCACCGCTACCCGTTTGAAACCCTCAGTTCTGGTGTAAGAGTGGTCGAAATACGCCTTAAATGATCCCTTGTTCTTTTATCGATTACTGCTTGAATTGTTATTTCTTGATACCCATTAAGTCTAGCGATTTAAAAAATGTGAGCTATTTCCTTTGATTTGCCTGTATCGCTAAGAGAAAGAGTTTGCATCCTGTGAACCATGTAGTGAAAAGCGGCCATTTTGTGTTGATGGGAATGGTTTGAAGTGCTTGGTATTACTTTCTTTGTGTTTGTTGGTTTCCTATAGATTTCGAAATTGAACGAAGACGTTTCCCTGATGATGAGAAGATCTAAGAAGGGGAGTTTACCGTCTCCCTCTTCTTCGTGAGTGAATTTGATGTCCTTGTGAACGTTGTTTATGGCCTCCAAAGTTTTTGATAAATCTTTCCTTTTCATAATGCCAAAGATGTCATCCACGTACCTATACCAACATTTGGGCAACAAATTCCTATCCTCCAGAGTATTTTCTAGGTTAGCCATGAACAATTTCCATAAAAATGGAGAAAGCGGATTGCCCATAGGAGCGCCTTTAGTTTGTTTATAAAAATTTCCTCTGAAAATGAAATAATTTTCGTCCATACAAAGACAAGTAAGCTGTGGTCATATCTCAATGACCGAACTTTGCTTTTCCAAGTAGAATCCTCACGTTGCTTCAGAAGCCAGTCCTCTCAAAGGCTGATGGCTTCCTTTACTGGTACACTCGGAAAAAGTGCTGTGACATCAAATGAAACCATGACTTCATCTTTCCGAATCTCTCCTGATGCCTGAAGCTGACTTGCGAATTCAAGTTGAACAGTAAGAATAGACGCTGATTATTGGTTGATTTAAGGTGTACAAAGCTGATTAACACGAGGCTGATCGCCAGTGCTTATGTCACTCGTTGTATATCCGGCATTTTAGTTCTTCTAAATTCACTGCCTACCTTTATAACCCCAGGCAGCGGCAGCAGTAGAGACAAGGAAGAGTAGCTTTAAATCAATAGCTCCAGAACTTGGCTGCGACGACGTCAGAAGTATTAACATTTGTATTCCTGTGTTTTGACTGTTATATTGACCGCATTTCAAAACTATTACTCATTTATGGCACTAACATAGCATCCAAATGACCATCGAAATAAATCACGCACTTGTGTCCACATTGTGTTAACTGAACTTGAAAAGGTGATAATTATTTTACTGTCACCAGTTCTTGTCTACAATTCTTTATTGTTGTATAATTCTCTTCTGGTTGCTGTTATTCAACTTAAATTTGACGTGATTCAAGTTAATGATCTTACCACACATATCCTTAAGTGGTCCAGTAGGTATGGCTGACGCCTGTGAATCAGCGACTGCCAGATCAAATCCCGAAATTTAAAGGAAATTTTAAGATTTATAATAACAATCTAAATATGTACATCCAATTAATCAGCAACAAGGAAAAGAAGTTCCATAAAAGTATATAATATGAAGCGGCCTTCCATTATTTTTTTTTTAAATAAAACTGGAAGGCTGAACAAGGGTTGGAAAAGACTGTTATTAAATGCCTTAAAAAGCTTAAAATTTGTATTACTGTTAAGCTTTCGGCTGATTAAAATCACCAGATTTCGATATTTAAAAGCTGAACAGAGACTAATGTCTATGTACAATAATTATTCAAACTAAGGCTGAATTAAAATTGATTAAACAACACTTTTTAAGCATCAATCTGTTACCTGGAATGTCTTCAGATTTTCAGAACTCCCCCATTTTCACGTTGCTTCCCTAAAGATCTTAAAACTTATAACAATTTGGGCAACAACTTTAAAGTTCTTGCAACCTTCTTGAAGTTAATGGAACTGCCTTGAAGCTCTTTGATATTCGATGCAGTGATTTTTTGTGAAATCTATGGGACCGTATTGCTATCGGTAAACCTTGATCCACTTAGTACTGGAACAATTATTTTGCTTATTACAACGTCCCTAGGAAACGTTTTTGGAAGCTTTTGACGTCTATTTGTTGGCAGCAACAATAACAATGTATTTTTTTCAGTTCATTGAATGCTTTTGTTTTGGTGACAGTTGTGGTGACCGACGTTGCTTTCAGTGTCCATTTTTTTTAGGAGCGCTTTAATAAAAACTTCCTTCCGCATCAAAATTAGTTTTCTGAATAACTTGTTCGAGCCTTTTTTGTGTTTCCCAAACCTCCTATCAAATATGGTCATCTCACTCTCTCATAAGCGAAACCACTCACCAATATTCCCATTTCACATCATCTCGTTTAATTATCAACTATAACACTCACACACAGAAGCATACCATCCTTTATTATCTCCGAATATTATCGAACACACACACGCACACACACGGTGAGATCCATCTCAGACCTCTAATCCACAAACTACACTAGTCCGGGATATAATAACTTTATAGCTAGCTTTATAGTATAAAGCTCCCCCCGGCTTCACACTAGTATTCATATGTTTTAATGAGATCGATAATATCCATCATTTTGGCACTGGGACGATAAATGTCAATTATTCTCCGTTTTTGTTTTGCTTACATTTCTAGTCTTAAACATTTTATTTTTCAACGGTCTGCATTATTTACTACATCTTCCTCTAACTCTACTCTCAAAGTGCGATCATAGTTGGCTGATGTTATTGAAAAACTGCGTACACAAAATTATTGTCGAATCTGCTTGGTCGTTTGATGATCTCTCGTCGTCGTAGTCCTTTCGAAGCAGATGCTTGCGGTACCGGATTCAAACCCAGATCAGCATTAGAATCATCAAGCGGTGGAACATCGACGGTTCTGTTCGGATGTGTTTGTGCAGGAATACTACTACTACCCTCCGGAAAAACCAGCAACTCATCCTCCTCGGACGGAAAAACGCTCGCGGAAATTTCATCACTTTGTGTTACCATGGGGACCCTTTTGACATCTTGTACGTTACGTGCATACTGAATGCCGCTTCTGCTCATTACAACGATTTTTGGACCGTCTCTTGCAACGACTTTGTACTGCTCAGATGAAAACACAGGATCAGTCTTGGATTTCTTGAGTTGAGCTAAGAACACAGTATCTCCAATCCGTATATCTGATGTTTTCGCTCCTCTTGCTGAATCTGCGTCCTTTTTACTAACTAGTTTCGTTTCAGCATCTCGTTCCCGGATGTCAGTGTGATCCAGCATCTTACTTGTATTGCTCCATAGGCAAGGAAAAATACCACGAAATTTCCATCCCACCATTAGCTCGAATGGGGTCACTGCCAATCTCGAGTGCGGAACCAGAGTGTTATGGTTATGAGTATAGAGTTGGAGAGCTCTTCTCCAATTCGTTCTTTCAATTTTGGACGCTGCGAGTGCTTTAGTAATTCCTTGGTTTTGTCTCTCCACAGCTCCGTTGGATTGAGGGCTAAGCGGAATAGACTTGCGTACTTTGACGCCCTTGTCTTCCCAAAATTTGATGAACGCCGCGCTTTGGAAAGGAGGACCGTTATCACTTTGGAGTATCAAAGGACAGCCCCAAATCTGGAATATCTGGCAAAGCGCTGCATTCGTGCTGTCGGCGTCCATGTGTTTCATCTCTACTACTGATAAATACCGAGAGAAGATATCCACCACCACCAAAAATTCTCCCGATCCAAATCCCGGTTCCGAGAGAAAATCGATTTGTAGTATTTGCCATGGACCATCTGGCAATATTCTACTGCTGAGAGGAACTGGAGGATTCTTTCTTGAAAGGCGAATGCACGTTTCACATCCTTTTACGAATTTCTCTACATCTGCTGACATTCCAGGCCACCAGAAGAAATCTCTCATGATTCTCTTCATCGCTACTTCGCCGACGTGTCCCCCATGTGCTGTGTTCATAACACGCTGATGGAGAGATTTCGGTAAGACGACTCTGTTATCCTTAAAAATGAGGAAACCCAGGAAATTAAGATATTTCTTTTGAGCTTCATATCTACGAAGCTCTGGAGACCACTGATCCAACTGAATAGCTACTCGTACTAGTTGAAGCTCATAATCTTTTTCCGAGTTCGTTTCAATTTCCTCCCACGTCACCTCCATGTTACCTGAGTAAAAAAAACATTCAAATGTTAGTATTAATGATCGATGGTTCTTATTAATACTTTTTAACAACCTGTATCCAGTGCATATAAGAAATGATTATCAACATCTTCCTCGAAGGGTACAGCCTTTTGGGACTGATTAATAAGCCTTGAGAGAGCATCAGCTACATTTGATTCACCTGGAATCCTTCTGATTTCGAAATCAAACGGTTGCAGACGAAGAGCCCAGGCATCAGCTCGCGACAACGCTCTTCTACCGATACGATGATTACTTCCGAAAATAAATTCGTTTGCTTCCGCATCGGTTCTGATCGTGAAATGTCTACTAAGGAGGTATGATGAAAACCGTTCTACACCCCATACAACCGCCAGCGCTTCTTTATGTGCTTGTGGATATCTTTGCTCCGTAAGCGTAAGCGATTTAGAAGCACAAGCAATTACCCTTGGTATGTCAGCATTGTTAAATTGAACAAGCACTGCACCTAAGCCAATAGGCGAGGCATCTACAAACAGTTCAATTGCATCTGTTTGGCTATAGTATCCAAGTTTCTTTACAGTTTTTAACGCATCGTCTTGCAAAAACCGGAATTCCTTTTCCTCGTTTTCGGTCCAATAAAATGAGTTAGAGCTGGATAACGCTCGAAGATATTTAGTTTTATCTGCTCTGTTCAAGATGAACCTGTCGGTGAACGTAACCAAACCTAAGAAACTTTTCACTTCCCCACAGTTTTCAGGTCTTCTGAAGTTTTTTATTGCGTTGAGCTTTTCGTCATCAATTTGCCAGCCGTCCTGTGTAAGAACAAATCCTAGAAACTTGACTGATTGACTTGCAAACACACATTTAGTTTCGTTTAATTTGACGTTGTGGTCCCGAAGACGGGCACGCACTTCAGCCAGGTTTGCGTCATGCTCTTCCTTGGTCTTTCCGTGGATCAAAATATCGTCAAGATAATTTTGGACTCCCTTACATCCACCTAGAATTTTTCTTTGCAATATCTCCTGGAAAAGATCTGGTGCGTTACATAACCCAAACGGTAAGCGCACACAACGAAACATGCCAAATTCTGTAAAGAAATTAGTCAAATGGCGTGATTCTTCATGTAATTCGACGTGAAAAAATGCATTAGATAGGTCAATCGTCGAAAACCACGTGGCTCCATTAAGGTCTGCTACTATTTTCTCTAGTGTTGGCATACTGAAAGGAGTACGGTATATATACTTGTTGGGTCCTCGTAGATCAATTACGAGCCTGAAGTCATGCTTTCCCTTTGGTACAACCAGCATGGAGGAACAAAATGAAGTATCCATGTCATCCGTAACGCTTTCTATTATGTCAGCTGTTACTAGCTTCTGTAGTCGTTCCTCGACTAACGACTTCACTGCCTGTGGTATACTGAGAAAGATGTTTCTGCATGGTGGCTCCGACTTATTGTATGCAATTTTAACGGGAGGTATATTGAATTTCGGAAATACTTCGTGCATGTCAATGGATGCAATCTCTCCCGTCAAAAAAGATATCCTAGCGTGATCATCCGTTGACACTGGTACCCTAATTCCTAGCATGAGTACGCTATACCTTGTCGCAGTAGGCCTGCCCAGTAGCGAACGAAGCTCTCTTACAACATAAAACTTCTCCAAGTATACCGGTCTGTCATCAGAAATGTGCATATAAGCTTCAAAGGTGGCTATCACGGTAATTTCTCCCGATGTTGCATAGGCTTTAAGCGATCTATCCGATTTCTCCTGCACATTTAAGACCTCACTACGATACTTCGGATTAGCAATCATTATACGAAACTGATCGACCGTGAACGTGTTAACCTGTGCTCCCGAATCAATCAGAAATTGGCATGGCATACCAGCAACTGTTGTTGAAATAATTCCTTCATTGGGCATTGATGAAATTGAAGCAAGCCGTACGAATGACTTGTTCTCCATTTGAATGGGACGTAAAATCTGTCAAAATAATAACGAATATCTGTGATAGCTCGTTTCAAGTCAAGTCTATTATTACTAAGTTTCTCAGTGTTATTAGGCCTTAATAAATTAGGAAATAATTCAGAAGCTACGTTTATGTTTATTTCAAGATTTAAAATTATATGATTCTTGCATTAATCTTACCCTGAGTGAAATATGAATTGAATTCAATACAAATAAGTAGCAAGTAAGATTACAAAGAGAAAAAAACAGATCAAATAGATAGTAAATATTAGTTTTCTGTGCCATCACTTACTTTCTCCGTAGAATCATGGTCCAACTCGAGCTTCTCAACTGCAGCAACTTTCTTTGGAATGGCATCCGGCATAGAACTTTCCGACTCCACAGATCTCTTATTTCCTGTTTGTACTCTAAACTTGCAAGCGACTTGGATGTGTCCCAAACGTCCACAGTTCCTGCATTCTTTATCGATAGCGTGACAATCTGACGGATCATGATAAGTACTCGTGCATCTCCAGCATCTGATGCCAAGTGCAATCCCTTGATTTACAGGAACGTTGTATGGTCTCCTACCAGCACCGAACGAACGACGATTTCCAGGACGAGTATACTGAGGCATAGAGTAATAACGTGACTTACCGCGTTGGTAGAAGGGAATCCTACCCTCTGATCCACTAAAGTTTTGACGCCGATATTGCTGAGCTCCATTGGTCAGTGGGTAATTCGCACTAACTGGAGCAATACTAGCTTGATCATTTGACTCATGCTTCATCTGGAAGAATTGCTCGTTGAGCCGAATGCATTCGATCTCCCGCACTTTATCTATGAGATCCGTGAATGAACCCTTTCGACTCAGCATCTTAAGGGCAGCTGTTCGGACATCTTTGTTCCTAGCGTGATCGGCGACAGTGCCAACAATTTCTTCAAACTCCTTTTCCTCAGTGTATTCGCACAGTCGGGCAGTACCACCAACTCTCGTTATGTAGGCCAGGTCAGGTTCTCCTTTTTTCTGGAACATTAGAGCCAATTTTCGGCGCTGCAGCATCACATCTGAGCCCGATCCAAAATACGTTTTGAGCCGATACATCGCATTCGTAAATGGATTAGCAGCTGCATCCGGGGCCTGTTCATCCGATTTCGTATTCTTGTAAATTTCCAGCAAACGGGGACCTGCTTTGACCTTGAAGATAGTGAATTGAGTGGACTCCTCGGTAATTCCAGCCAGCTGCATAGAGTCCACCAAAAGATCTTTCCACTGTTCAAAATCTTGCCTATGTATCTCAGTATCCTCGCCGACTGGTTTGCATTCGGGAACGTTGATCGAGGCTATGGACAGTTGATTGATCGATGACATGAATTTGGACTCCTCCATGGGAGCAGCAGATTTTTCATGCTGAGTGCTGGATGGTCTGAAACCCTCACTGAATTCACTGACGCTTTGGTGCTCTGTAACATTTGTAGTCGTACACGATGGTCTTTGGATTGTTGCTTCCAGTGTTTCCTTCTCCAGTCGAATCTTCTCCAATTCTTCACGAAGTCCGGCTGAATTGGATTTTTCAGCTTCTAACGCATTCCTCAATGATTCCAGTTCTCGTGATTGATCTGCACGTGCTTGATTTTTCATTTTCTTAGGCACATTCACCATCGAATCACCATTTTGTGAACGACTACCATCCGCTTGATTCTTCTTCTTTTTCTTTGAGGACGTTTTCCTACAACATATAATCAATACATTACAATTAAATTACGTCGTATTTGCAATGAAATACAATTCATCTTCATTATTCTCTTTAGTCGTATTTAATTTTTTTTTTCATTGTTTCAGCCTACGCATCATCCATAAGGTCATGACGAGCATACTGACACATTTTCTTTTATTTTATATTGACTAAACGAGTCTTTTCAGCCTACTCACCACCAATCATGTCATAGTGAGCCTACTGAATTTTTTTTTTAATTTTGTTTTATTTGCTGTATTGCTTAATTCATCATTTCTTATTTAGCCTACTTGCCATCCAACAGGTCATGGTAAGCATACTGATATTTCAAACGTTGTCAGCCTACTCAACACCCATTTGGTCATGATGAGCCTGCTGAAGCATATATTATAATTTTAAATCAGTTGCAACTCTTTTCAGATTACTCACCACCCATCAGGTCATGGGGAGCCTACTGAATTTGTACGTTTTAATTTTTATTGAAAATACATTTTTTTTTTAATTTCAAGATGGCCGACCATCAAAGGAATACTCGCTCTATCTTTTTTTTATATATAACTGCCGATAAAATAAAATCTGCACACTCAACATCCATTTCTAGTTTTCACTAATTTTTAGCATAACAAGTTAGAATTCACTGCAAAATGTTCTTTCCAATTAAATTTCCGTATAAATACTTACAATTTGGGAGCAATCGCTGCGCCATTGTGGTGACCGACGTTGCTTTCAGTGTCCATTTTTTTTAGGAGCGCTTTAATAAAAACTTCCTTCCGCATCAAAATTAGTTTTCTGAATAACTTGTTCGAGCCTTTTTTGTGTTTCCCAAACCTCCTATCAAATATGGTCATCTCACTCTCTCATAAGCGAAACCACTCACCAATATTCCCATTTCACATCATCTCGTTTAATTATCAACTATAACACTCACACACAGAAGCATACCATCCTTTATTATCTCCGAATATTATCGAACACACACACGCACACACACGGTGAGATCCATCTCAGACCTCTAATCCACAAACTACACTAGTCCGGGATATAATAACTTTATAGCTAGCTTTATAGTATAAAGCTCCCCCCGGCTTCACACTAGTATTCATATGTTTTAATGAGATCGATAATATCCATCATTTTGGCACTGGGACGATAAATGTCAATTATTCTCCGTTTTTGTTTTGCTTACATTTCTAGTCTTAAACATTTTATTTTTCAACGGTCTGCATTATTTACTACAACAGTCACCATGCAAATCGTAAACAGTCACCTGGAAAATCCATCGTGGTCTGCGCCCAAGCTGGCTAAAGTGATGAATTTTCCTAGAAACAACGTATAGCGCGTG